ATATTCTCCCTAGATGTTAGGGGCAACTACCAGCCCATGATTTATGCATATATGGCACCTGAGCTAGGTGAGGGAACTGACCTGATACTAGGTACACCCTGGATGAAGCATCAGGGAGTGAAGGTTGAACCTAAGAGGCTGTGACTACGCCTAGCTAATAGGTCAACTATAGGATGTATAGAAGATGAGCTGAAATTAGTAGTCTGATATGTCAACGCCCAGGGGTTCACAGTGTGGAATTATTAGAGGTGGAGGAATAAAGTAATATAGATTTTTACTGCTAGCCTTAAGGATATTAAGAAGGCCTTATAAGTAAAGAAGCATATGAACCCTGCTAATAAGCTATCAGTATGCTATCATGAGTTCCTAGGAGTATTTAACTAAAGGAAGGCTGATGAACTACCCCTACACTGCCATGGGGTTAATCACTGTATTAAGTTAACTAAGGGTGAAGATGGGAAGCTAGCAGAACCCCTATAGGGCCCCCTATATTCTATATCACGCGGTGAACTGCTTATCCTATAGAAGATGCTAATAGAGCTACTAGAGAAGAACTTCATCCATATTAGTAGTTCTTCTACCACTGCTCTAGTGCTGTTCGCCCATAAACCAGGCAAGGGGCTATAATTCTGCGTGGACTACCATGCACTGAATATAATTATAAAGAAAGATTAATACCCACTACCCCTAATTAATAAGACCTTAGAGCGCATATTAAAGGCAAAGTAGTTTACTAAGTTAGATGTGATTACCACATTTCATAAGATTTATATTGCTCTGGGAGATAAGTGGCTGACAGCCTTCTATATATAATTTGGCCTATATAAATGGTTAGTGACCCCCTTTAGCCTAGTAAATGCACTAAGTACCTTCTAATAGTATATTAACTAGACCCTCTGAGACTTCCTGGATGAATTCACCTCTATATACATTGATGACATACTCATTTTTACTAATAGGTCACTAGCAAAACACTATAACTATGTATATTAAGTACTACAATAGTTATAAGCCACTGGGTTATAGCTTAATATTAATAAGTATAAGTTTAAGGTTAAGAGCATGAAGTACCTTAGGTTCATTATTAAAGCTAGGAAAGGTGTGCGCATAGACCCTAATAAGGTAAAGGCAATACTAGAATAGCAGGCCCCTATATTAACTAGGGGTGTATAGTTATTCCTTAGCTTTATAAACTTCTACTAATACTTCATAAGGAACTTCTCTAACATAGTACACCCATTAACAGCACTCACATAGAAGGGGACCCTATTCTCATGGACAGGGGAACACACTAGTTAGTTTAAATAACTGAAAGAGATGTTCACCACTGCACTAATTCTTATGCAGTTTGACTATGACTGGGAGATAGTTATTAAGATAGATGCCTTGAACTAGGCCACTAGAGGAACACTATTATAGTATAATAATAATAGAGTACTATAGCCCTGTGCCTACTTCTTAAGGAAGAATTCCCCTGTAGAGTGCAACTATAAAATTCATAATAAGGAGCTGCTTGCAATTATTAATATACTTAAGGAATAGGAGCCAGAACTAATTAGCTTACCATAGTTTAAGCTTATCACTAACCACTGCAACCTGGAATACTTTAAGACAGTCTAACAGCTTAATAAATAGCAGATGAGGTGGTTATATATGCTAAGCCAGTTCAACTATAAGATGCACTACTAACCTAGGAAGCTGGCTGCACACCCCAATACATTATTATAAAGGGAACAGGATACACTATAAGATGCTAAGGATAACAGGCTTAAGGCATGAGAGCTCTACCTAATCCCTCCTAAAATTATTATAGACCAGGCCTGCACACACATATTAAGCATCTATAAGGTCATGCCTAGGCTAGACATGAGTTTAGTGCATTATATTAATTAATATAATAATCCTTACTATCATATAACCCCATCCTTAGCCGCGCCCCACCACTATATAAGTAATGGAGGGAGGCCACGCAAGGAGACAGGCACCTATAGGAGATAATCTAGTCAGTATAAGCAGGGGTGATAAGATTCCCCACTAAACTGTGTGTGTATATATCTATTACTAAGTATTTAACTTCTCCAGACAGCCACCTACTATATTAGGGTCGCAAGTGGGCCCCTGACTCAGAGCTGCTGCAGACAAGGATCCTACAAGAGATATATAATTTAGTGCTTATAGGGCACCCCAGGAAGAATATACTATATATAATAATAGTATAAGACTTTTACTAGCCAGAGCTTTCTACAGATGTACAGAGGTTTGTCAAGAATTATAATAAGTGCAGAGCTAACTATGTATAGTGTGAATAGCACTAAGGCTTACTAAAGCTATTACTAATCCCAGACTGTAAATAGCATGAGATAGCTATTAACTTCATCACTAAGCTACCCAGCTCTAGTAATTGCAAAGACATTATGGTGATAGCTAATAGATTAGGGAAGGGGGTGATACTAGTACCCTATGAATAAACTAATACTAAGACTATAGCATAGCTATTAATTAACTAGTTCATTAGCTACCATGGCATACTAAGTGCAATCACATCAGATTATAGCCTATAGTTTATTAGTTAGTTCTGGGGCCACTTCTGCAGCCACTTAGGTATATAGTGATAGCTATCCACTGCCTTCCACCCACAAACAGACAGCTAAGTTAAGTGGATAAATGCAATGCTAGAAGCATACCTGTGGAACTTCTACAACTATGTGCAATCTAATTAGAAGTTATTACTACTGATAGCTCAGCTCACAATTAATGGCAGGGATGCTATGAGCACTAGAATAAGCCTATTCTTCCTAGACCATGGGTACAACCTTAAACCACTTGACATTAAGGAACTTAACTAAGAGGCTGCTATTACTAACACAGCCTAAACCCCATAAGAGAGAGCTAAAGCTATAGTCATAAAGATAAAGGCAGCCACAGAGATAGCACAGTCAGAGCTAGCTGCTACACAGCAACATTAGGAGGAATATTCAAATCACTCTCATAAAGCCAGCCCCAGATACACTGTTAGTTTGAAAGTATGGCTAGACCTGCATAATATATGGACAGACCAGCCAAGTAGGAAGCTCAACACGCAGTATAGGAAGTTTACAGTCCTTAAGGCTGTTGGATCTCACACATATTAGCTAGATATACTACTAGGAATCCATAATGTGTTCCATGTTAGCCTACTATATCCCACTGCAGATAACCCCTTCCTGAGCCAGCTGAATGGCGACTACCAGCCACCTATAATGCTAGTCAACAGTGAGGATGAATATTATGTGGAGAGGGTGCTAGATGAATATAAGAGACATATTAGCTGAGGCCACCACCGTGAGTATCTTATTAAATAGGTAGGGTATAAACGCCCCACATAGGAGCCGGCAGCTCACCTTGCTGATACTGCTGTGCTGGATAAGTAGGAGGAGCAGCAACAACCCCAACAGGGGAAGGAGGGGTAGTGTAGCAGGCAGGGCCCACTGGGTGCTCATGCTGTTCAACAGCCCTCACAAGGTCTTATCTAAACTAGACACCAGCTGTCAGTCACATAACTTTTGTACTAACCAATATAATAACCCGCGCTATCATGTGACCCAAGCCTTCCCTTTTGATGTCTGGCCATGATGCGCCCCTAGTTAGACTTCCTAGCGATTTCTTACCGTCCAAACCTAGGTCATAGGTTGAACCGGCTTCTAGCCCGTGACACTGGCTCCCTCACTAGAAGTTAACAGTAAAGATAAATAGGAGGTTAATGAGATACTAGTGTCCTAACTCCACTATTACAAGCTCCAGTACTGGGTAAGATGGCTTAGTCATGATATTAATCTTGCCTGGTATCCAGCCTGAAATTTTAGGAACTCCCTAATGTTGCTCTGTGACTTCCACACCCAATATCCAGCCATGCCAGGCCCGCTGATGCGCCTACCAGAATGGCTATGAGCAGCTGAAGACAATGTATTCCTTAATGATCACCCTGATGATGATAAACCCCAGATGAGGGCATCCGGAACCTAAAGGGGGGGTAATGTGATAATCTGTCACCATATTCCCCATGGACCTCCTTATACAGAGCTTTCTGCCCATCTTGACTGCTTACCTCTCCAGGGCTGTTTGGATTATTTGCACTATTCCACCCTCTGTTTACGTATCTCCCCACTATGTACATACTTCTTCCCCCTCTTCTCTATGCTTAGTTTTCTATCGAAATACTACCATACCATTGGAATATGAGCAGTGCCATCATACAGAGACCGCATAAGTTAATACTATGTGTTTATAAGGTATCACCGACGAAATCATCTATTAGCTACCTTCAAACCTTTCGTCGTCCGAATCGATAAAGATTGATAGCCCCCCCATTCCATTCGATCATCTTCGAACATCAACAGATCCTCACTTCATCTCCCAACTTGTATCTGCCAGAAGCGCCTGTCCACATGCCGGCCAAGCGAGCATTTCAAAATTAATTACTAAGCAACAAATGCTCCGTGGCATATCCTTGCACATGACCGGGAGCTGCCGATATTGTGCCCCCCTCCATTCTGCCCCTCCTTGCTCCTCCGTCAAGGCACCAAGAACTGAGCTTATCAGTTAAAACAGGATGGTTACTGGATATTACTTGATCTGTTTTTAACTTGACTCTGAGTAAAATTCACCCTGGCCTGCGTGCGAAATCTATCACATCAGGCGATCTTTCGAATCGAATCGAATCCTATTGCGCCTAACCTATTATGGAGGTCAGACGCAGAATTAGCTTCACAGACCAAGCCATTACTAACTCTTGATGATGTTACATAGAGAGGCACAGCTGCACTTAGTGGCAATGAAGAAGATATTCCCAGTCATCATTTTCTGCTGGATACCAAACCCCAAACAATCTGCTTTAAAGGAGAGCGCTTATCGATTCTCAACCAAGATATAAAAGATTTGAGAACTTCCATTGAAGACATCGGAGAGTATATGGAATATGAGGTTCCCGCTGGGTATACCTGTTATGTTATTAGTGGCAGAGTTTATTTCAAGTCATGAGAAGTGATTTCTCTCTTCATCCTGAAGACACTATTGAGATGATAACCATCATTGTGTCCGCACCAGATGGTGAATGAGATGTCTTAAGTCATGTCCCATGGAAACAGGCTGGCCAAACACAATGTTATCTCTAAATTTTGACTCCTCTCTAACCTCCATTGCTGGCTATTCTCAACGGCTGTTCTGAATGGCTCTGGCAAATGCGAAATACTAGAAGCTGGGGCATTTAAGAATATATACTTCATTTCTACTCACAGAATTTGTTAGCTTCAAGTTGCTGTTCTCTAATTTATTCCTATATCTCTTACCTCTTTTCCTAGCTGGCAGGAAAGCCTGGCTTCCTGTTCCTGCACTTGCATGCTTATCCCTGATTTATCTGCGCTTTATCATTGGTGAGCAAGTGCCTTCTTCTCCGTCCTGAGCATTACCTGGGTCATTAAAGGATGTCGCCTTGCTGTGGACTGCAGCAGTGTGAGTAGCTGCAGGCAGTTCAGTAGTGCCACAGTTGGCCGCCTAAGAAGGATCTTCAAGATCATGTAAAAGGTTACCATTATCATGGAGTATCATTATCTCAACCTAGTGGTAGCCTAATTGTCAGAACTTAAGATAATTGCTATTGACATGACTAGGTAGTAACTTACTCTCAAGAAATGGTGTTGTGGAAGTTACTCTAGGCAACTTTACTAGACGCTCCCTGATCTCTTGCATACCCATCCAGTCTAGCAATATCTCCTGCATCGTCATGTACTGCGCAACATTTGCTAGAAGAGAGTTGAATTCATTGCTTGGAAGAGAGGCTAGACCATTAATAGCAATCATGCAAAACAGTGCAGGCGCATAACCAAGCTCTTGCAGCCTATACCAGCAAGATTTATCATGCTTATCAGAACACCTATCAATCCCTGATAATGCTTTGATGTTAAAGGTTATTCGCCGGACTGGTAACCACTCTTAACAACAAATAAGACTTGCAACAGGTCCAAGCTGCTCTATGACAGCAAGCCAATCCGCAACATCTGCTGCTTGAGTTTTCAAGGCTTTCAGCATCTCATGATCGCCATGTAAATGAAAGCTCAAAGTGCGAACAGAGTCTAAGGCCATTGAAACTTCACTCTGTCTTGGAGACATGCCGAAAGAGGAATTTGGTGTTGGAAGAAGACGAAAGTATTGATTTTAGACTTGAGATAGAGATCCCTGAGATTAAGAAGGAACACAGGCTTCTCGGAGTTTATACATCAGCTGGAAAATGCAGTCTTGCTGATGTGGACGCAATCCCTATTACATATTAACCAATAGTTTAATCTTAAAGCAAACAACGGCAGGTCGTAGTTGTGGGGAATTTCTCCCTTTAATTGTCACGTGAAAGGTTACGCCCGAGAAATCTCCTTTTTCATGTTGACAAGATGGGCCCATGCGTCCAGTTTCCAGTTTCCAGTTTTATTCATTGACCGTCCCAGCCTATCACAGTCGATGGCTATGCGGGAACCGTCCCACCGCTTTAAGGCGGTGGGGGCGATTAGTAATACCTATGTACATCTCTGATGATTGGCCTAGTCGAGGGCTTGGCTCCACTTGGACATCTGCCCAGGGTTCCCCAAGCCCTCTTTGGCTTCTATGTACCCATTGACCTCAGTGCATTGCCTCATCTATTTCGTCCTGTGGTACGGCTCCAAATTGCCTGAGGAGCACTGTTAGTAGCATGAATTTGGCTGCCCGGACCGCAAGCCTGGGCGTGTTCAGAGTCGTCCTCACATCCCCTCCTTCTAATCCTCCACCCGGCTTCACCAGATACTGTTGACGGAGGTTTCTGAAGAGTGGGCAGGCGAGGAGAACATGCCGCACGGTCTGGGTGGCCCTTCCGCAGCGGCAGTCGCCGTCCTGTATATCCGGCACTCCTCGTTGGTAGAGATAATGCCGGAGCCCTATTTTTCCAGTGCGCATCTGTATTATCACTGTACCGAGGGCCCGAGGAAGGCCCCGATGTATTCTCAGGACCTTCTTCGTTGGGGTCGGCATCAACTCATATACTGTCCGCCCATGCGGGCTTGCTTGCCAATCTTGTCCCCACTGGGTGTTTGTCATTTCCCGGATTCTGACTTCTACTGCCGAACGGAGGAGTCTTTGTTGAACTGGCCGTGGCGCCGTCTCTGCGGTCATCACTTTTTTCACCTTGCCACGGTGTCCACGGATCTGCCGCCATCCTGTAGCTTCCTTTGCAGCTTTGTCCACTAATTCATTACCTTCGACGCCGCTGTGGGACGGTATCCACCGAAAACGCACGGCGAGTCCTCCTTCCCTCGCTCTATCCAGGGCCGCTATGACCGCCTCTAGGAGGTATTGTCCAGACTGCCTCCCTGGATTTTGGATGGCACGCAGGGCTGCCTGGTTATCAGTGAATACGACTGCTCGACTGATACAATGCCTTATGGCGATGATCAGGGCGAGGAAGATCCCTTGCAGTTCTGCAGTGTACACTGTGGTCACTGACAATTCGCCCATGTAGGCCGCCCGCGTTTCCTGGTACTGCGGGCATACCGCGGCCGCTCCTATTTTGCTGTTGATCCCGCTCCCATCTGTATACACTGCTACCACCGACTGGCTCTGGCCGGCGATGGTGTCATGCTCCGCGATTGCTTGTTCTGCGCTTGCATTGATAGTCACGTCTGGTGGTGTCCAGTATGGTGCCGTGATGTATGGCTGGATGCACTCTAGGTTTCCGAAGTTAGCCCCCCCCAAGTCTCCGGGTGGCGAGCTCGTCGATCCGCTGTAGGGGGCTCTACTCCCGGGAGCGCCAGTATGGCTGGATATGTCCCTTTCCGATAGCCTCACCGCCTTGTGCGCTCCGTACTTGGTCTCTGGCTCTGCTGGTCGCAATCTGTAGCAGTATCTCCAGCATCTGTTTTTCCAACAGCCATTGCATTGGCAGCTGGTATGCTTCTATATTCAGTGCTGCTGTTGCTGTTGGTCTGTATGCGCCAGAAATGGCCTTCATTGCTCGAGTGTGGATACTGTTTAGGTTCCGTAGGCGTGTCTGATGATGTGCGCCGTTGGGCTTGAGGACGTGCTATGCTGAACATCCGTAGAGGAGCGCTGGAATGATTACTGACTGGTAGATTCAGCGTAGTTGTATCAGGCCTGCACCCCATGTGCTTCCGGCCAGCGTGCTTAGGGGTTTGAGGAAGATCGTTGCCTTCCTCCCGACCGGTTTGACCTGGTCTTCCCATCGGAGCGCAGGGTCGAGCATGATACCCAGGTACGTGGCTGTTTTAGCGGGTTTGATCTCTTCGCCAGCGACTCTCATGGTTTGCGCCATGTTGCAGTTTGTCCTAGCGCGGGTGAAGTGCATGAGCTGGTATTTCGTGGGAGAGAACTTTGACCCGTGGGTCCTTGCCCACGCTTCCGCTTTCTCATGTGCCTGTTCTAGATTTCTACAGTTCTGGTCCGTCGACGGGCTCCTCGTGAAGAAGTAGACGTCATCAATCCATCCCGGTGTTTGTATGTCATCGTCAGCTACGGTCTCCAGGAGATCCGCGTTATAGAAGAGATAGAGTATGGGCGAAAGTGGTGAGCCCTGTGGAATTCCGACGGCCACGGTGTACGGCTCGGACTGTATGTCTCCCATCCGTATGATTGTTGTTCTATTGCCGAGGAAGCTTGCGATCCATCCCACGGTATCCCGATCGATTTTTGGTTTCCGTAGGTTATGGAGCAGCCGCGCGTGTGATACACGATCGAACACACCCGAGACGTCCAGGAACAGGACACTGGCGACATGGGATGGCATCAACTTCCAGGTCGTGTGTATTCCCTCCAAAAGAATGTGGATGGCCTGCTCCGTCAAGACTCCCCTCCGTCCTCCCATGTGCTGTGGGGGTAAAAGGTTGTGTTTCTCAACCACATAGCTCAGTCGCCTCGCCAAAAATTGACTCCAGTAGGGTGTTCAGAAGCGCTACCGGACGGTACGCCTTTAGTTGCCCATAGTCGCTCTTCCCGGGTTTCCTGAGCGTCACTGTGACAGATTCTCGGAAGTGCTGGGGACAGTAGTGTAGCCGAAGGCACGCATTGTAGAGGTGCTGGAGGGGTTTCGCGATGCATGGTGAAATGCGGTGTAGCAGGTGGCTTGGGATGGTATCTTTTCCGGGTGCCTTTTTACCTGGCATACGCCGGATCGTTTCCGTCACCTCCCGCAGCGTGATCGGCGGAAGCTGTATCGGGCTTGGGTACTCATAGCCTCTGATGTCGGTCAGATCGGCTTCAGGAGGTGGCGGGAAGAAGGCTTGTTTGAACATCTCCAGCTTTTTAGTTGCATCTGTTTCCAACCCTCTGTCCGGATGTTGGAGTGGCGGTACCAATGTAGTTCGCGGCTCTCTGGTGCGCGCCCACCTTGCTATCCTCCACAGGCTATCTAGGGAACTCGTCGCCTCTTTGACTCTCTTCCGGTGGTAATCTCGCAGAGTCTTCCTGATGAGTCCGGCTTTGTGGTTCCGTGCTTGGCGGTAGGCCTCCCAGGCCTCTGGCGTTCGTTCGCGTTGGTATCTCCGTCTCAGGCGTCGGGCGAGCTGCTGCGCCTCTTTACATTCTCTTGTCCAACCCGGTATCGAGCGGGGGCTGACTCGCGCCCTTGGAGTGGACTCTTTGACTGCTACTAGGATGGCATTAACTATGGCCCTGGTGGCGTTATCGATGTCTTGTTCCGTGGTCAGCGGCGTCAATTCCGGCAGATTTTGCGCCAGGACACTGTGGAGTCGTTCTTGGTCGGCAAGCTCCCAGTTCCACTTCTCGGGTACTGTACGCTCGCGGGTTGGCCTTGCCAATATCGTCTCCAAAGAGATGTGGTCCGAGTCGTGATCTAGGTCGTCTCGTGGCAGACACCGGATGAGACTATCCTGAAGTCTAGGTGTGGCTAGCGAGAGATCGATTGTCGATTCTGAGCATCGGTTTCGGAAGGTGACAGTCCCTGCTTCATAGAGGAGGGCTATGTCGTAATGCTCAATGAGCCGTAGTGTTTCCTCTGCCTCGGCATCTGCTCTCTGCGCCATTAAGCCACCCCAGTATGGATGATGCAGGTTGAAGTCTCCCACGACGATCTGCTCTGCCTATCGCCATCGCTCCAGCGCTGTCCGAAGCACAGGGAGGGTGCTATTTGCCGGTTCTAGAGTAGGGATAGGATTGTATATGTTGTGGATAACAATCTCTTCGTTTCCTTCGCCCCAGCGTAGTTGTAGCGTGCGTAGGTCCGGGGTGTGGTGCGTGGCGGACCAGCGGCTGCTTTCGATTCTCTTGTTCACAAAGAAGCAGACCCGCGTTTTCTTGTGGTCGTGGTATGCTAATTCGAAGTGTTGTGGAATGGGATGGTGGGTCGTATTTATAAACGGGTTTCTCCAGGGTTCTTGTATTGCTAACACATCGCAGCTGATGATCCTTCTGTCTCTCAACAGGGCCGCCATCACCTAATCTCGTGACTTCATGACATTGTATTGTAGTATTGATAGTGTGGGTTGCCTGGTCATTGCTGACTGGAGGGTGTGGTTTCGAAGAAGTTTGAGATCGGCTGCATGTTTTCCCCTGGAGACGGTTTATCAGAGTGCGTCGTTACCTTCCCTCTTCTAGTATTCGCAGAGCTTTCGGAAAGAGCTCGGCGCGCGAGAGTGCGTCGTCTGCCACTCTTCCCCTGTTATCCGTTTAGATGGCTGTATGCCTGTCCGCAGGCCGTACGAATGCAGTTGGCTGGAGGCTGCACTCGCTGCACTCCCCTGCGAATTCCCTGGTGTGCTGGTGTTATTCTGTGTTCTCACGGGACTCGGCGGATGTATCGGGGCACGCGTCTGGATTTCTGCGCGGGCTCCCGTCGCTGACCTTCCGGAATCGTCCGTCTCATAGTAGAAGACAGGTCGATTCTGTCAGGCCTGTTCTATCCTGGCCATTTCCTTCCTTCTCCGTGGGCAGGCATTGCTCCATGCCGTGTGCTGTCCTTTGCACAGTATACAAGACGGCGCCGGCTTTGGGTCGGTTTCTTTCACCATGCATTCTTTGGTGTTGTGCTTTCCTGCGCAGTATCCGCATCGCTCTTCGGCATCGCACTGGGGTCCGATGTGGCCGTATTCATGGCATTTATAGCACTGCTTGAGTCGGCACGACTTGTCATATAGGACGCAGTCGTGGTGAATCGCGTTCAACACCAGTCCCTCCCCGGATGGCCCGGTTCGCGTGGTACTTCGTCGTAAACTCCACGACAAGGGATGAGGCTTGTTTCTTTCTTCCCTCCCTGGTTAGCCAACCTACGTACGTTACCCTCGCTCCCTCATGGAGCACCGCATTCTCAGATTCAATTTTCTCAATGGCTCTTTGTTGGTTGTCAGTGTCGATAGATTCTTTGCTGGTGCGCACTCCGTGTACAATCACCCCGTATGTGGGTCTGACCACCCTTGCGGATGTTCCGAGGACTTTGACCCATTCTTCTTCGGTGTCCTTCAGTGTGTCAGCTTCGGCCGTGGTTGCTGTATGCAGTACTACGTCCCCGCTCTTCAGTTGCTTTGCGGCAATGACCTTAGGGGCTTTCCCAAGCAGATTTATCCGTGATCCTAACGCATCATTCACCCGTTTGCAGAGGTCTTCCGATGATACCTGGCGGAGTACGGCCGCCGCGTTTGCTTCCAGTTTCACTACGGTCTCCCTATCCTTAACACTTGCGGTCGTGGAGGCTCTGCTATTCGGCGTTGACGGGTATGAAGGCGTGCCTGACCGGACTACATCGGCCCAGGAGGCGATTCGAGTGGCTGCATTGGGTGCGACAGGAGCATGGGATGCGAGTGCATTGTTGACTGCGTTCTTGATGAGGGTGATGTCTTCTATGATCGGCTGTAGGCTGTTTAGCTTTCCCAGGATCTCTTGTCCGGATGGTTGCTCTCGGGTTTTCTTAGCTAAGTTAATCACGCTGTTGAGAAAGGCATCCAGAGATGGGGCTGGTAGTTTGGCGCGTTTGGTGCTGTCGAGTATATTGTGCAATTAGAAATTTCCTTCTGCGGGATGTGATGACGGAATAGTGGTCGATACACACTCCCGGGCTCCTTCTGGGCTGAGTATCAAGAGTCCCGCGAAGCGTCAGATAGACATCCGAAGCCTATGGTGACTTCCAGAAAGACAAAGAAAAACAGTCGCAGGCCCCCGCAAGAATGCGATGACAGTTGACGGTAATATAACATGGACCATGAAGTGTTTCTGGCCTCTACTTGTAGGTCCGCAAAGGATCGACACCCTTCATATTGAGCACATGGACCCCAGTTTCGGTTTCTGGAACTTTATGGCTTATGACTACGCAGGTAGTACTTTCCCAGAGTGGGCGGGACATCAGCCGAGCATGTACAGTGGCCCCAGCCAGCGGTCGACTCTGTTCAGTACTGAAGAGGCTGTCGAGAGCTATCTTAAACATAGTGTGATGGGGAGTAAGATCGTCATTGGCATGCCCCTTTATGGCCGGGTATTCACAGATACGGATGGCCTAGGAGAACCATTCCATGGTGCAGGCGAAGGTAGCTGGCAAAAAGGCGTCTGGGACTACAAGGCACTACCGCGGCCAGGGGCAGAAGAACATACAGACGAAAATATAATAGCGAGCTACAGCTACGACGCACGGGGGTGAATCATCCTCGGCTACGATAACCCGAGGTTGCCCGGAAAAAGGCGTTCTACATCACATCGAAAGGATTGGGAGTTGTTATGTGGTGGGTGAGCAGGGCCGACAAGTTAGGTAGTCAAAGCTTGATAACGATAAGTTGGAACTATCTTGCGTCCAGTGGGCAGAACTGACCGACTTGCTCAAGATCGTTGACGCTCTAGGGGGCATTGACGCCTTCGAACAAAAGAGTAATCGGCTCAAATACCCCCTTTCCCTGTCTGACAACTTACGACAGGGTATGCAGTAGCTATGTTCGTACACTGTACTGTAACCTGTAAGGATGTTCGACGTTGGACTGAGCATCAATTGAAGCATCTAGTCCGGTCAAGGTATCAGAACACGTGTGCCCTTTTACTATATGTCGTCGTTAGAACTGCTTGGTCAAAGGGCGTTAGGGTCCGCGTGTTAATCAATATTACAAACCTGACAGTCTTCATGTAATTTCAACTTTAATATCCAGTGGTCTTTGGGGCCTATCGTGTGCGACTCGAAGCTGTGATTGTAGAGATAAATAGGCGAACACAAACCTGAGTAGCTATACCTTGGACAACAATTTCCTGATGCGCATTCTTGCGCAACTCGATTAGTGTTGGAGGTCCTCTGCTAACTGATACAACTCTTCCCCTTGACAGAGTAATTGCGCTACCCGTCGTCGAAGTCAGCAACACACGTTTTTGGCAAAGGAGCAGAGAAAATTAGTGATTCGACATCCGAGGAACTTAGATAACCGAGCGCTGAATGTGTGCATGACTTTGGCCCCGGCCCAATCACCACTCGTAGACATCGATGAACATGCTTAGGATGACCAGTTACATTGCCGTTGTTGATACCTTGACACTCTCGTTGTACTTTGTTCAGCGCACTTTGGCTTGAAATAACCCAGTAAACCAGGTGACAGGGGTGCATGAGCATCAGCTACACCAATGAGCGACAATAAATGGTTCAACAACTCTAAATTGGATCACTAGTCGCATCATTGTTAACCTTCCTTTCCAGGCCAACTGATGTCTCCAGCCCAATAAAACTGATGAGCGGTCGATGATGCGCGAAATAGTTCGACTATTGATCAACAGTCTGTCACTCAGGCAATCCTCAACCTTGCTGAAACTTGTCGGTAGCTTGCTGAGTGTTTGGCAGCTGAGCCGTTGATCACTGCTCAAAATCGGCGATAAATGTTCAACCCTTGGAGGATTACTTGCAGGTGGTCTTGGTCGACTGGCCCGGTGGCTGGCGTGGACCCACTTAGTAATCGCCAGCATGGGGCCACACCGCAACAAATGGTTTTAACTTTTAACTAGTGGATCGCTAATAATTTAGTCGTAAGATAATATCAAAACACATCAGCTATGACTCAGGACAGGTACAGTAGTCCACTACCTTAAGATAACCTCAGAAGCCTGGATAACTAGTACCATACACATCGTACAATACACTAATAGCTTAGTGGGGCGACATTTTTTTATGGCCAGATATTTGCTGTTCTAGGTCTGATAAATCAGCATAATTAATGTCTTATTTCTTTGTTCAGTCGTCGGGGTGATTAGAGGATTATGTACTACACGTGACTCTGTAGGCTGACACCATTACACCAACTTTCCTAGTGCTGAGGGAATCATACCACTCTACATGCAAATGCCTCATATCTTTCCGTCTAATGCTAAGCATCCATCGTCATCATCTGTCCGGGATTGGAATCATTCTCTAGCTCCTCCGCTTCAGCTACCATTGGCCTATGAAGCCGGCCATGTCACGCAAAAATCGAGTGTGGACGCGGGGAGAAATTGAGGGATTGATAGCAGATGGCCATAAGATCCCAATAGCTGGGTTGGATCTATCGGCACAATGACAGTACCAGCCTTCAGAACGGGGAGCTCTGCCACAATTGCGGATATGGCCTTCTCAAAACAGACTTGTACCCGAATCCCGGGGTTCAGTCAGCATTCTCCTTGGAATGAGATATTACACGAGACTACATACATAAATATGTATATATATATATATATAGTGACACTCTCCAGTTCGTCATAAGCGAGCGTCCCGTCCGATCGGACGTCTTCCGGCATGTGGACTGATGAGATCGTCTAGGAAGTCCATCATCCAAGTATGATTATATTGGTGGCGATCGACCGAGTCCATGAAGATATTCGTCATTTACCTATTGGTGCAGTAGTCAAACATGCCTCCATGAGACACTCTATTGAAAGAAGTCCTTCCCTCATAGGCAAGTTCTAGGTGACAGGGCGCGAACAGAATATACTAATGAAACTGCCCATAGGGGAGTTGTTAGGTACTCTTAATAGAAGCTAGAAGTCGCCAAGCGGAGAAATTCTGTAATAGTTTGTGCTCTGGGGAGCAGGAAGTAGATTTGATGATCGAAGGAGCAAACATTTGTATTTTGGGAGTATACTAGACAAGGTTAAAACATCCTAGGCTTGTAATTCTTGTCATGCTCCCATAGGTGAGCAGAGGTACTGTGAGTATGGACCAGGCATGATAGGATAAAGATGGTGTGAGCTGAAGCCAAAGTTAGTTACATGGTAGTAGCGTGGGCAGAGTTTTGGGTCCGCAATATGTTAGATGAAGAGCAATTTGATGCTTGTTCAATAGAAGCACCATAATAAAGAAGACATGGAGAAGAAGAGCCTCCTAGGGTTTCTCTATAGTTGCACTACACTTCTTAGGAAGGAGTAGTAGAGGCAGGTATGTGCTCTATAGTGTTAGAAAGACAAAATTTTGCAGGCTAGATACTATCTCTGCCTATTGTGCACCGGGAAATCCTCGCCCTTGTCTCAACGAACCTCAAGACTGACCTGGGTCGTGATGCATCAAAGCCACTGTAGCTAAGAGTTGCGCTAGAAGTGTCTGGTGAGGTTCGCGAATGGTGGAACCAAAAGGTGATGAAGTGGACAAATAACTGCCCCAAGCCGGTGAAGCTCCCAGCTATGTATACATTACCTGAAACAAGTCTGTATTAACTTATACAAGAGTGAGCCCCTTCTTCCCCTCAGCTTGACTTACTGCAGGTCGTTAGATGGCCGCCTAGTTATTTGACTGTGACAATAACATATTCATTTACCTGTTGCTCCAGCTTTCAATAACCCCGCGACTAGAACAATATTAGCCTGGGAAGTAGGAGGGGCGACAACATTTGAAGTTGATAAGACTATGGCTCAACGAAACATTCCAGTCATATAATGGACACTAGGTCTTTAGCCTAGCAGGGAAATAAATGTACGGATTTTTTTCAAGAGGCGGTACAAGTTTTCGACGGAATCTGGCATTGAGCGCACGCAAGAGGGGAGGCACAACAGATTCAAGGCTTAATGATGAGGATCCCCCCTGCAAGAAGTTAGAGAGTCGTCATAAGAGTAACTAGATAATTTCTCTTCTACCTTAAGTACTACCACTCTCTACCTTTAAAACTCGCTTTAACAGTTAATAAAGCTTGTTGTGCAGTACCATAGAAATTATTCTATCTATAGTTGAGAGGCTTTTAGAGTCTATTAACAGGATTTATATAGGCTTTATGCACTTCTCTGGGAGTCTTAACGAAGCCTTAACTCCAGTTAAGAGGGTTTATCCACAAGCAAAAAAGATGGCAGAGTACACTACTACTACTACTACCAACAAGTTTAAAAGTTAATAACGTATCAAAAGGATTGTTACCTTAGTCACATCCATGGAGGAAATTGTTCAAGTATGAGTATATCGCGGTGGAAAAGTTTGGCAATTTCGCAGGACGTATGAACCAGCTCATGGCCGCCTCTGACAGCCAGGCAAGATTAAACGTAACCAGACAGACTTCTTCCTTAAGCCCGTAGAGCCCACTACTTCCACTGGACGCTTGGCCCTCCCAGCATCTACCCACGCTTAGTAAGAATAACAGGCATATGCTCAATCCCCATAGCAAAGTGATCGTCCGCAGCCTCCATCCACCGTGTTTCATCCTCATTCGTCGGGAAAGTCATGTCGAATGTCATGACCAACCGCGCCACAGTAGTGCGGAGATTCAACATGGCAAGTGGCTTTCCGATGCATGAGTACGGGCCTGTTCGAGTTGGGATAGCCCCCTATCAGCACTACAACAGAAAAACTAACAAGACCCAAGGTAGAGGGTGAGATGCGAAGAAGTGCACTTACCTATTCCGAAGGGGCCAAACGCGGATTTGTCCCTCACCAGGTTCGGGTATTTGTACCACCGTTCGGGAATAAAGGTCGAGGGATCAACGTACGCAGCTTCAGCTATGGGATGGGTTGAATAGGGTTAGACGCATAGTAGCATATCAGAAAGCACAGCGGGGTACCACATACATCTGCCCAAACTCCACTGCGGCGTATAAACATTCATCCCCCCTGGGATCCTCACATCCCTAACCACAATACCCTCCGGCGGCGTCTTGCGCGGAATTGCAGCGGGGATTGGCGGGTGCAGTCGGAAAGTCTCGTTGATGAACCCGTTGAGATGCGGGAGCTTCGCGATGTTGTCGTGTAGGTACTCGCCGTTGCTCTCGACAGGGATTGGGTCTAGCTCACTGCGAAGCTTTGACACTTCGTCGGGGTGCCGCGCGAGTTCGTAGACTATGGCTGTTAGGCTTGTTGCTGTTGTGTCGCTGTGGGATTTTTGTTTAGCTGGTTTCTTTGACAAAATTGGGGGAGATTTGATGGGAGACGGTAGACCGACCTTCCGGCTGTGATAATCAGCATGGCGTCTCCCATCAGCACGTTCTTCTCCTCTTCAGAGGGGCTTCGGCCGTTTAACGGCGCTATTAAAGACGTAAAGACATCGGGAATCTTCACTTCGTCCTGCATGCGACACAGTCAGTCTCTCCAGAAGAATCCATACACCTTTATTGTGATCGTGGGTCAGAGAGCAGGGATGGGAGGAAAAAGGGACGTACGTTTAACCGCTTCACCAACGTACCCGTCGAAAACTCAATGAACCGATGCCAATCCTTCGATAACCCCAACGAGGGCATCGTAGCAAGCAACCGAAAGAACCAGCTGGGCCACAGCAGCCGATAGCCCGTCAACCCCTTCATCAGCACATCCACAGCCCAATGATTCTTCCGCGCGTCGAGCATATCGAAGCTCTGCGCAAAGGCTAAGTCACCCATGATATCGTAGCTGTAGTATGTAAACCACTTGCTGACATCGACTGGCGAATTCGAAGCTGATCCTAATCCTGCCCCTGCTGTCTCAGCCTGAAGCCTCTGAAATAGTTTCTCCCGATACACCCGAATCCGCTTCTCATATCCGCGCAGCGCGCGATCTCCGAAGCCGCCGCTCCAGACTCTCCGGCGCTGGTCGTGCGAGTCCCGGTCTCTCCACGAGTGCAGGGACATCATGGGGTGTGCGTTGTCGTAGAAGGCGTTCTTGGTGCAGCGAGATTGTGCGCTGTGGACTATCGCCACGGCTTCCGGGTGGATTATGGAGACCTCGGAGGGGCCGATTCGCACGATGGGCCCGTACTCCTCGTGCAGCTGGTGGAAGTACCGGAAGGTTGGTGTTTTGCGGAGGCGGAGGGAGAGCCAGGATACACAGAGGCGGGCGGCACGCGGGCCGGGAAAGCTGCGAAGGGGTGGAAGAGGGTGCGGTAGCAGAGGAGAGAGCTGAAGAGGCCCGTTAGGTAGGTCACTGTGAGCAGGCATGTCTGTTCGAGGATCTCGGTTGGTGATAGAGGGTCCTGTGGTGTCTGTTTGACGTGCAAAAGAGCCGGTATGGCCATCAATAGGCATAGATGAAGCGAAACACAGCGCCATGGGTAGAGATGATGCTCCCCCGTCGAAAATACAAGACATGCGTGACTATACCGATTACGCCAGCAGTAGCCAGGCGACGGGAGTCCATGATTGATATCAGTTCAAAGAGACGCCTTGATGGGGAATTGGGACGAGACGAGCAATGGCCATAATGGGTCCAAGAGACAGTTTGCGCGAGAGAACTCGATTAGAAAAAAAAAAAAAAAAAGGAAAAGAGAAAGAGAAAGAGAAAGCTCTCCTTGCCAACGGTGTCCTCGCAAGTACGGTAGGCGTATAATCAGACCTGCACATTTGTCAACGGCGGACACTTTAGGCAGTGATAATAGCAGGGGATTGGTAGCCACGGCATGTCAGACATGCAAGGGATAGTGACCCATCCCTTCCCACATCGAAGTACAAGAAATGAGGCCAGATAACGGCCGAGTAAGATCCTCTTCCACATTAATGGATGTAGGTGGAAACCCTTGCATGCCGTAGATGCAAGACACACAAAAGCAGCCTTACATGCTTGTTGACTTTATACAACCACAACTCATGTTTCACTGCAGCCAGAATCCGATAGAAAATCCTATTTCACCGTAATGGACAAAACGGCGGTCTGGGAGGGGTATGATTTCTAATCCAGATTGAGCTACAGTGGACCGCGCATTAAGATAGACTCTAAAATGGATATATACAGAAACGTTCGCGTTCATTAGGGTTCAGGCCATTCTCTAACGTACTCTTCTTGACCAGCGTTGATAACACACTATCACTACAATGTCGGATCTCAGAGACCTCGCCCGCAACCTCAGTAAAGCTGTTGAATGTTACGCCGACGAGCTTGACAGGGCAGGATGCACTCCAGACGACTCAAGTCTGACTCTCCTCGGCTCCAAAGGCCTGGCAGCCAGGGAAGACATCATCATCGGCGCAGAGAACATCCTCCAGCGCGCTCGCGGCCCCGTCGCAACCCTAATTGGGTTCATGGAATCAGTGAGCGCCCGCTCCTCAGATAACTATTCCCCTTCTTTTCCAATCTAATACCTTCGTCGCAATATCTAGGCTGTCGACCTCGGCACAATCCAAACCCTCATCCGGCTCGGCGTCCCGGAGCAAGTCCCCTTCCCGGGCTCCATCACCTACACCGAGCTGGCGGGAAAGCTAACCACCCCCATCTCCCCGGACCTCCTACAGCGCCTTATCCGGTTCTCCCGCCTCGATGGCTTCCTCGACGAAGACGTCTCCGGCGCCGTGAAACACACCCCCGCGTCCGCAATCTTCGTCACCGACGCTAATACCTCGGGGCAAGCAAAGTTCATGGCGGACTTTGGCATCCGGCCGTGCGCGTCCTTGTATGAGTCCATTAGGCTCGATCCGAGTGGTGAGATTCCGCGCCGTGGGCCTCTGGCGGTTATGGCGAGGGAGGAGCCGGGTATCGGCGAGGGCCCGACATTCTTTGAGGTGCTGGAGAAGGATGCTACGAATCAGGCGCGGTGGCATGATGCCATGGCCGTGCATGATGACTCGGTCATTCGGCTTGTTGCGCAGGCGTATGATTGGGGGAGCGTGCAGAGCCTTGTCGATGTAAGATGCTATCCCGCAGGACAGCTCTGATATTTCACTGACACCTCTGCCCCTTGATCTAGATTGGCGGCTCCGAAGGCCATGTCGCAACCGTAATCGCAAAGGCCTTCCCCAACATAACCATAACCGTGCAAGACCGCCCCGAGGTCATCGCGCGGGCGCGGTCCCGGACTACCCAACACCCGCGCGTCTCCTTCGCCGAACACGACTTCTTCGCCCCGCAGCGCCTCACCGCAGACGCGTACTTCCTCCGCCTGATCCTGCACGACTGGAACGACGCGGACGCTGCTCGGATCATCCGCCAGATCATCCCGGCTATGCGGAATGGTTCGCGGCTGCTTATCATGGACGCGGTACTGCCGGAGCCCCGCGGTGAGGGCTCTGGCTCGGTGCTGAGGGAGAGACAGCTGCGGAGGAGTGATATTGGGATGTTTACGCTGTTCTCCGCGAAGGAGAGGAGTTTGGTGCAGATGAGGAAGTTGGTGGAGGGGTGTGATGGCAGGTTGAGGTTTCTGGGGGTGAGGACCCCGCCGGGGAGTCATGCTAGTTTGATGAGTTGGGTTCGTGAGTAGACCTCTATTCCGCTTCGCACGCGGATGCTGGGAATATGGCCAGAGATTGGATTGTTCTCTGCACCAAACGAGCAAGCTATGTGAGAGCCGCTAGTTAGTCAATTAACCCACTTATGTAATGATGCCTACTTCATCAAGTAAGCCATAATGTCCTGGATTACTCTATCGACGTGGTTTACAAAAATCACCTAGTATTGAAGGGTTGGGCTCGCGACTCGCCCCTGAGATAGTATCGGCAGCTATAAATTATCAATTTCCTGGTCTACCAGGTATCTGCGTCTTAGCAGCACATCCACACCGGGTGGTGTTCTTGATACGGATATTTTCGATTCAGGCTGTAATGGAGCTGCTGCCTTCGCAGTTCGTTGATTGGCACACGGCAGACGAACTGTAGAGGCCAGCAGTTACCTTTCCGAGGAATGCCTTGTCGCAAGGAGAGGATGCTGTGTTATGAGAAGGGTTATGCAACAACTGTACACAGAATGTCTGTCTTACCGAAAATCCTAGCTTACGCAGTGGCTGAAGCAGGGGTTGAATCCGCTGGAATTGCTGCACTACCACCCAGCATTACAACCCTCAGCCCCTGGATATAGGAAGGATAGGATAGCTAAAAGCCTTGTTCAAGCCCTGTTCATCACGAGCCGTTGGCCGCTCGCCGTCCCGTTGTCTTCCAGTTTCCATCTATCCGCCATAGCCGGTCCTGTATTTTTGGTGTGTCAACATGAGCTACAGCAAGTTCTCTCAGGGCTCCTCCCCCTTTCAACGCTTCCTTTCAGGTCCATTCTCCAGCCAATCTTCATGGGCAGGCGCTGTTCTTCTCGGAGTCGCCTTACTCGCTTTAATCCGCCATGTGCGTGGAAGTAAGTCCAGTGGCAGCCAGCTCCCTCTACCCCCTGGCCCTCCAGGTCTACCAGTCATCGGCAACCTCCTGCAAGCCCCAAAGGAGGCCCCATGGAAGAAATATAAAGAATGGAGCAACAAATACGGACCCATCATGTCGATCCGCAACGGGCAGAACGTATTCATCATCATCACCTCGTTCGACATCGTCAAGGACTTCCTCGAGAAGAACAACAGTGTCTTCAGCTCCCGACCACACCTGGTCGTCATCGAGCGCGCCTCTGGCGGCCTCGCGACCTCATTCCTCCCCTACGGCCCGCAGTGGAACTCCCACCGTCTCCTCCGGGGAAACGTCCTCAAACCCGCCATGGCAGTCAAGTACCGGCCCGTTCTCGACACGGAAAGCAAGCAGATGCTACACGAGGTGCTATCAATGAACAACCTCCCGCAGACCCTCCGCCGCCAGGCTGCCAGCACCTTCCTCACAATCGCCTACGGCTACCGCCTCCCCGTCGAGCCGCCCGAGATCCAAGAGATGGAGGAGCTCGTCTCGTACATGGCGACGATCAGCGAGGCGTGCTTCCGAGGCACAAGTGTTCTCGCTGAGTTCTTCCCGTTTGCGCAGTACCTCCCGGGGAACTCGTGGTGGAAGGAAGAAGCCGATAAGATCGCGGCCAAGCTGACGAGGTTCTACGTCCAGAAGTGGCGTGCCGGCCTCGAGACGTCCGCCTGGAACTGGACGAAGGAGTACAACGTGCACAAGGAAGCGCAGCCCATGGACGAGCTAGAGCGGGCGTATACGATCGGCTCGATCTACGAGGCGTCGCTTACGCCGTTTGAGATCCTGCTTATCGTTATCCTCGCGGCGCTGTATAACCCTGAGGAAACGCGCAGAATCCAACGGGCTATTGACGCTGTCGTAGGCGGGGCCAACCGTATGCCCGAGAGCAGTGACATGGCCCAGCTCCCGCAGATTCTCTTCTTCGTGCACGAGGCCCTGCGCTGGCGGCCCTTCTCCCCGCTCGCCGCACCGCGCGCCGTCAGCAAGGAGGTCGAGTACCAGGGGTACCGGATTCCAAAAGGCGCAACGATCGTCGTGAACCAGTGGGCGATGGACCACGATGAGAACATCTTTGCGGACCCCTTCAAATTCCGGTACTCGCGGTGGGAGGAGAAGCCTGATCTCCCACACATCTCGTTTGGGTTCGGACTGCGCGGGTGTCCCGGGCAGCATCTTGCAAGGGAGTACTTGTTTATTTCGGTTGCGCGCTTGCTCTGGGCCTTTGACTTTAACCATCCAACGGTTAACGGGGAGGTTGTTGTGCAGGATTTGGAGAAGCTGTTTTGCCCGCGCACTCCCATTGCATTCTTCAACCAGGTGCCGTACTCCTTTAAGGTGGATATTACGCCAAGGGATGAGAAGCGGGAGGCTCTGATTGAGAGGGAGTGGGAGGGCGCTGAGAAGGATGTGAACGTGCTGTTGGATCGGGTTATGCCACTTCCTAACTAGAGGAATGGGTTTTCTGTGGTTCCATGCTGGAGGTTTACGATCGGGTGTTGACGCGGAAAGGAGTATGCATAGTAGTCTACATGATGAGTTAATGCTATTGGCTATTCGCTATTTGCTATCCTCAAGCTGTTCCCTGTAGTTGAATCAACAATCTTTTTGCCCACGAGGTATTCTCCAAGAAAGAACAAAAAAAGAAAAGAAAAAGAAAAGAATTCTGCTTCCATTCAACATGAGCAAAGCCATGCGCGGGTTTCTCTAGGGTACACATGGGGACTTTTACTAGCACACCGCATTTTCTTAGCTTAGGCCGGGCTCTACAGTATTTGCCGAACGATGACTCCCTTGCGGGTGGATAGTTTCGCGGCAGGCAAAACCGCTGCAACTATACAGTTATGTCGCCCTCCCCCCGGTCAGGAATGTACTGTGGACTGACCCCCTGCATTCTTGCATACACGCATGTTGCATGGTAAATTGCGGTCTGGAGGGTCAGTAAGCCCACCATCATCTTTGAGTATAAACCCTAGCTGTGTAGTGTGATGCTGGTCATGCCTTCGTGACTCCCACTATACTCCTCCCTATTCTCTCAGCCATACCCACCACCAAATCGATATGACCCCATTGATTGCCGCCGCCTCCGTGGTCCCTCCTCGCCTTGAGGAAATGAGAAGTAAGGGTGTCCAGCTGACAACTGGCGGCCAACCTACAACGCTTCCCTCATCCATCGTCCATGCCTCCAACATTCCCATCAACGACGACATCGAAGCCTGGTGGAACGACTGTGGCCCCCTCTTCGAGCGCTTCCTCCAAGCAGGAAAATACGCCCTCCACCAGCAATTCCAGTACCTCCTCTTCCTCCGCAACCACCTTATCCCAGCGCTCGGTCCACACCCGCAGAAATGGCGCAGCACAATCACCCGCAGCGGCCTGCCCATTGAGTACAGCATCAACTTCCAAACGGACGGCAAGCCCACGCTGAGGATCGGGTTCGAGCCCGTTAGTATCCTCTCCGGAAACTCAGCGGACAGATACAATCAGCTCGCGCCCGCGGATCTCACCAGCGTGCTAGGGAAACTACCGCTCCTGGCTGATTTCGACGCGAGGCTGTATCACCACTTCACCAACGACTTCGCGCTCTCAAAAGCCGACGAAGCATCTCTTCAGCAACAAGGCGTCACGCCAGAGAAAGGCCACGTCGTCTCGCAAGCCGCCTTCGGCTTCGACCTCAAGGGCGACCGCATAGCGGTCAAGGGCTACGTCTTCTGCGGCCGCAAAGCCCTGGCAACGCACACGCCCGTCGGAGAGTTCATCGCGTCCTCCGTAGCCCCCATCACCCCGCTAACGGGCTCCTGCGCAGCCTTCGCCCTCGTGCACGAGTACATGACCGAGACCTCGGGTTATAACGAATTCACTTTCCTCAGCTGGGACTGCATCGAGCGCACGCAGTCGCGCCTGAAGATCTACGGCGTCCACAACGAAGTAACACCCCGGAAACTCGCGGAGATGTGGACGCTGGGCGGGCGGCTCGAGGGCATCCCAGAAATCATGCAGGGTCTGCAGCTCGCTCTAAAACTATGGCTTGCGCTTGGTCTGGACGAGGCGGATGATTGCGCGTATACAGGTCGCTTCGACGATGGGATTACCTCTGGGGACGGCGAGGTGTCTTCGCCGATTCTGTGGAACTTCGAGTTCAATCCGGGGAAGCGGTACCCCCTTCCCAAGGCGTATTTTCCGATTCATGGCAGGCAGAGTGATCGGCATGTTGCGGGGGCGCTGGGGAGGTTCTTTGGGGAGCTTGGGTGGAAGAAGCTTGCGGGGGGTATACTGAGATGGTGGAGGGCTTATAGTAAGTTTTGTTTTCCTTTTTCTTCCTTCCCTCAACTCCCTTGGCCTGTATCTCATCTCGATGTAGTCCCGATCGCGATATCTCGCAGACCTCTCGTCTGCAGTCGTGGTTGTCGTTTGCGTTTACCGAGGAGAGTGGTCCATATATGAGCGTGTATTATCACTCTTCGGATGCGTACCCGTGGTCCGACTAGGGCAGGCACGAGTAAAGCCAGCTGGGAAGGAGATGCCTTTGTCATCTCCGCATTTCTCTACTCTGAGCACACTATTTCAAGGAAGGCCAAAGATGCTACTGCGCAAGAGAGACGTTTACAAAAGCAGTGGGAGAAAGTGCATGGATACCCGCCACCATCAGCACCTACACAGGAGAATGAGGAATGAGGTAATACACCCCCTTAGCTTAGGCGCACACCCTTCCATCTTAGGCATACACCCCCTTGCGTGAAAGATTTGAGGTGGTTGGAGAACGTTATAGGGATGTGGCCCATGTGGGTGCTTGGGTAATATTGCAGGAATCGGTAGTTGTGTAAATCTCCAGCTATATGAAGCAGGGAGATAGCAGTCCACAAGGATACAAAATACCTATCAAGTAGTGGTTCGATACGTTCCCCCCTCAGCCCCTCCCCTCAGCACTGTCTTCCCTAATATCTTCGAGAGAAAGCCTCGCCTTATCTCCGGTGCTTCCAATAACCCTCCCAACAACTGGCTTCATTTATTCGGACGCAACAGGTTGCCAGGTGGGTCTTGTGTATCTCCAGTAATATACTACCCAATAGCTAGGGCTAACCAATTACGTCTTCGGCCTTGGTAATGTTAAGCGTGGGCCTTGCGAAACCGTTCCTTTGGGAAAAAACCGCTGATTGAAATAGAATAGAGCTCTTACTGTGCCTTGTCTGTACAAAAAATGAATACCTGCCTTGTATACTGGCTGCATCCAAAAGCCCGAGCAACATGACTTGCTGTGCCTCACTGTTATCCACTCCTTTCCGGTGGTTTTACTATGACAAGCAGGCATCTACCGTTGGTCCTCCAAACTACCAAAGAGCGGTGATAAATGTAGTCTTAAAAGTGGATATCACACCACGTAAGGGCTATCCCAACAATTTTAATAAGAAAAATGCAATGGTTATAGTGGTCCAGACACGTCAAGGTCCAGATTCTGGATTCCACAACATGAGCCCCATGAGCAACTGCGTCTATCGTTTTTATATCTGCACATTCTTCCAAGAATCAGTAGATCACCTGCCATACATTGTCCCCATGTAAGGTAGCAACCAAGGTGCCAAGAAGTTCAATCCATTCTTACATACTTTCTATTAGCCTTGTTTGTTGCAATGCGACGCAAGAACGTTTTGCCAATCTCGATATCTGGCATATTTTACAAGGGTGTTGCATCGCCTTGGCCTTTCAAAGGACAGACTGTAACGAGGAAAGTATGTGTGCAGCGCAACAGAGATAATTTACAGGTTGTCTGTCAGTACAGACAAGTAGATGTCCAGCGCTATGCAGACTGTCAATCAGTAAATCCCGAACTAACGGGGTTACTATGTATACACGAAGCTACTTATCATGTGCAGGTCAACCTTACATGTCATCGGAGGGAAGAATAAGAAGCTGTACTGAGCTGCTTGTTGACGGATTTACATAGAGCTGAATGTGTGTGCCCCCTGACTGGCAATCGCTTTTCCTCAGATGGTTTATTCCGGCTTTACGGCGATGTTTGTGCTCCGATGTTGTATCCGCGGGGGCGCCAGCATGCAGTGCCATTGTGCTGGCTCAGTCCAGTCTTAAAACAATTTGCATCGCTAGAAAAACTGCCACCCTCCGTGTCCCGTCACGATAGACCTTCCATCGCATAATGGCCTCAGCTCCGCCACCAACGCCCTTGTTTCGAATATTTAAATGCCACCATCGCGGATGTAAATGCGAGTGGTCCAAGCAATAAAAGCGCATACCATAGCATGGTCAACCGTCTGAGGAAGACGAAGCCAAGGGCTGCTGATCTTTGCCACATTCTCAATCATTTCTAATCTTTTGTTGGGGGTTCATCATAGCCCAACCCCTCGCCTTAGGCGATATGCAGGATGTTACTATCGCTATCTCTGTACGTACATCTATTTGCGGTGAGCCATACTTACCGACGAACTTGGAGCCTCGTCAGGGCCTGCGGTGGCCCAAGCCCGATGCTGTGTTTCTGCGGCCTTCACGGTGCGCGGCTTCGAAATCCCTGGGATGCCTCTGCAAAGTCCAGTACCGCACCTAAGGTGCTCCTGTCTTACCATAACCTCCTTACCTTGCCTCCTCAACATATCTGATGTATTTGAATGTTCTTTCTGATCCTCCATGGTGATTCCTTGCACAGCTCGCTTAGCCATGGGCAGTCTACCACACTTGCACCACTACTCATTTCAAAAATTGATTGGTTAATTAATTTGGAGATCATGGAGCCTTAGCCAACTTGAAGGATTGTAGCTAGAGCGTTTACTCCATTGAGATATCTGGACTCGTGTATTGCATATATAAGGGGTCTTTTTAGGCCAAAGGATCAAGCCTTATTCGTCTTGTCAAAACTCTTAACACTTTCGTGCAGTCCGCTGGGTCATACAGTCCTCTATATTCCTCGGCTCGTTGTGCAAGTAACTATGGCATCATTATTTCCCTCCTTCTCGAAGCCAGGTGATATGGATGGTGACCATATCTACCAACAAGATATAAAGGCTGGCATAGGCGTCGGTCAACCAAGTGCTTCTCAGCATCTTGTGGATTTCAGATCTCTCGTTCCTTTGGCGAAAGCAGGCTGGGCCCTTTTGCTTTCCAAGTACACTGAAACCTGCAGACCAATTTTTGGCGTGATTGAAGAGGGCAGGGATACGGTATGTAACGAGTATGGAGAAGACAGCACTAAATTGGCGGCCAACGTCGAGAAATGGGTTGTCCACGAAGACGGACGTCGACCTTTGCATGAGGCTGTGCAGACTTTGAATATTCAAACATGGCGGGAGGCTAGCTCTAAGCTGAGCCAAAGAGAGTTCAACACGGTTCTATGGGTGAAATGGCCGGGTGGACAAGTGGGCCCAAAGAGGAACACTAAGGACCAACTTGATCAGGCCGAGCAATGTGTGAGTGTACGTTGCGAGCGTTTAGTATCTATTTTCTGATACCTGCTTAGCTGACCTCTACCTATAGCTAAGCGACTTATTGATCACCTTGGATTGCAGTCAGCAGCCGCCTCAGCTCTCGTTGAAGTTTTCTCCGTCGTTTCTGGGCCACAGTCATGCGTTGGCGGTGCTTAACTCGTTGAACCATATCCTGGTAACCGTGATGACGGAACCTCAGACAGCGGTGGCGGATATCTGCCTTGTTGGCAGGCGTAACATGGATATTGTGGCTCGATGGAACCACCCGGGTCTCCTGGACCAGCCGGAGCTTTGCATTCATTCCGTCTTTGCCAAGCAATGTCTCCAATATCCAAACGCAGAAGCCGTCCATGCTTGGGACGGGTCGTTGTCCTATGCAGACGTGGATGCGTTGTCTGGCGGCATAGCAGATCATCTGACATCTCTGGGCGTAGTTCCCGAGAATGTGGTACCGATTTATATGGAAAAGTCAAAGTGGGTCGTAGTTTCGATTCTGGGAGTCCTTAAAGCGGGCGGAGCATTCACACTTCTTGATCATTCTTTCCCTTTGGATCGCGTGAGGATGATGTGTAATGATGTCGGAGCGTCCGTGGTCATTACCTCTCGCTCGTTGATCCCCAAAGCGAGTGCTCTGGGCCTCGAAATTTTTTTGGTACCTGACAACCTGGCCAGCGCCGCGACTGTAGCGTGCTCGGCTCGCTTACCCGTGGTCAAACCAAGGAACGCCGCTTATATTGCTTTTACCTCTGGATCGACTGGAAAACCTAAAGGCATTGTGGTGGAGCACCGATCGTTCTGTGCCAACATGCTGGCCAACCAGCGAATGCATAACCTGGACGAGACATCGCGGGTTCTGCAATTTGCCTCGTTTGCTTTCGATATCAGCATACTGGAGCTACTGATGCCGCCGATGGTAGGGGCATGTGTATGCATTCCGTCTGAGGACCAACGGGTGAACGCTCTATCCAGTACTATCGAGGAATTTGAGGTGAACTGGCTGGAGCTCACACCATCAGTAGCAAGGTTGGTGTCACCAGACTCTATTCCGCGCGTCAAAACACTTTTACTTGGTGGCGAACCAATGAATCCGCATGACCTGCGTACCTGGCTCAAACACGTCCAATTAATTGGGGCGTACGGTCCAGCCGAGTGCAGTGTTGTCACGACCTTGCGCCGTCACACCGATGACTCGAATATATCCAACATCGGCCGTGCGCATGGCGGCCACTGCTGGATTGTTAATCCTGAAGACCATGATCGACTCTCCCCAATTGGATCTGTTGGCGAGTTGGTGATTAGCGGCCCGCTGGTTGCTCGCGGTTATATTAACCAGCCTGATCAGATGGCGTTCATCCAACCGCCAAAATGGGCCTCGCTCTTTCATATATCACCCAACGAGAGGTTCTACAAGACAGGCGATCTTGTACGATGGGACCTGAACGAAGACGGATTACAGTTCAAAGGGCGAAAAGACACGCAAGTGAAGCTACATGGACAGAGGCTGGAGCTGCAAGAGGTCGAGTACCAAGCGGAGCAATTCAGACCTGGTAGTATGGTAGCTGCAGCTGAGGTCCTTGAACTGGACCATGGTATGGACGCCAAAATACTTGCTTTGTTCCTATCGGACAGGGAAAGTTATCCATCAGGAAGCCAAGTGCCCCCTGTCACTCGGCAAGTCAAGTGCTGTGAATGGATTTCCGAATTGCAGGCTTGGTTACAACAAAAACTTCCGAAGTATATGGTGCCAACTTTGTATATTCCGTTGGAAAGTCTACCAATAAGCCCAACCGGGAAGCTTGAAAGGCGAGTGCTGAAAGAGATCGGACGGAAACACGCAGTCTCTAGATCTCTGTCTCGTGAGCCTGGTCCCGGTAAAGTGCCGGGAGACGACGCTCGTCCTCTGTCTAAGATAGAGAGATCATTGAAGCGTGTCTTTTCCGGGGTGCTCGGTGTCCCCGAAGGTGCATTTGTGCCGGAAGATGCGTTCTTCTCATTAGGAGGGAATTCGGTCACAGCCATCAAGGCCGTCTCCCGCGCGAGGGAAGAGGGATTGGCCCTGAGCGTCGCCGATATCCTATCTCTACAGACCGTGTCTCGACTAGCGAAAATTGCTCGCAAAACAGAGGCCTTAGAAGCCATTCCCCGTTTTAGCCTGATTGCGAATCCTCGGGTGAATATCGGCGTTGCTGCTACCCAATGCCAAGTAGAAGCGGAACATATTGAGGATATCTATGGCTGCACACCGGTGCAGGAGGGGCTGATGGTGCTTTCTACCAAGCGTCCTGGATCACTTGTGGGACAGTTCTCGTTCTATGTACCAGGTGACGTTGGATTGGACCTCTTAGAAGCGGCCTGGAACCAAGTAGCCATATCCAACCCTATCCTGCGCACGCGAATTGTGGCAGGAGAGAATAACAGGCTAATGCAGGCCGTAGTGAAAGGGGTTCCAAGACTTATTCACCGGAGAACTTTGAGGGAGTGCGTCGATGCCTTGAGCCCAGAGCCAATGCAACTTGGGGATCCTCTGACTCGCGTGGCTTTTGCTGTGACCGGCGACGAGAGTGATTCCGGACCCGTACTTATCCTTGCAATGCATCACGCCGTCTTCGATGGCCGGTCTTATATGTGCATTCTGGAGGATCTTCATAATGCAATGCTGGGCGGCTTGGTTGCTTCGCGACCGCAATTCAATCATCTCATTAAGCATATAGCCCAATTGGATCCAACTCCTGCAATGTCATATTGGGCCCAGGAGTTTGATGGTCTTCAGGCTCCGGTGTTTCCTACCCCCGTCGAACATTGGACTCCTACAGAGAAACCGTGCATTGAAAAGAAAAGCTTTGCATTGGGAACGATCCACGATGGAGGCATTACACTCACAACCACTCTCCGCCTTGCATGGGCGATGGTTCAATCCTCCCATACCTGCTATAATGACGTTTTTTATGGGATGACGGTGTCCGGATGCAACGCCCCCATACCCCAGATTGAGGAAATAGCTGGTCCAACGATTGCGACATTTCCCACCCGCGTTCTAATCGATCCAGACCAGTCTGTTCAGGCGGCGCTGGACTCAATTGTGCAAAATGATATTGCTCGTATACCGTTCGAGCAGGTGGGACTCAGCAATATTTGTCAAGCTAGCGAGCGGGCAGCTTTCGCCTGTGGATTCCAAACGTTGCTCATCATCCAACCAAGCCGCAATGAAAGCCGCTGGCCTACTTTACGGGATCTACCGAGGAATTTCGAACAACAGCAGGGGTTCAACACCTGTTCATTAACGATAGTTATTGAGCTAGGAGCTAATTCTGTCAATGTTGAGGCCATTTTCGATGGGTCTATATTGACAAAGCAAGATACACAGTCCCTGTTAAACCGGTTTGAAGTCATCCTGCAGCAGATTATGGCGGATACGTCCGTCCCATTGCGGTCTATACGAACTTACAGCGACCCTGAACGAGTTCTTCTCAGCCACTGGAGTCGGCCCCGCGTACTGGAACACCCTTCGTACATACACGACCTTATTTTCAGCTGGGGTTCAGCAAACCCAGCAGCAGAGGCTGTTCGTGCATGGGACGGCTCATGGTCGTTTGGTCAGCTACTTGATGTTTCGCGTGCGCTCGCTAGCCATCTAGGCAACCTTGGCGCTTGTCCCGAAACCTACGTCGCTGTTTATATGGAGAAATCCAAATGGTACCCCGTTGCTCTGCTGGGAATATTGCTAACGGGAGCAGCTTTCGTCCTTTTGGATACGAACTTCCCCGTGGATCGCCTACAGAGGATATGCAGCGACGTAAAAGTGAAAACTATAGTTGCCTCGCAACTCATGTCCGAAAAGTGCTCTAGCTTGGGTAGTACCACTGTTCTTAGCGAACAGACTGTGCGCCTGTGGGAGAGAACTACGTACGGCGGGTTTTCAATAGGCTCTCACAGTGGGGCATACGTCGCGTTTACCTCTGGTTCTTCAGGGACGCCCAAAGGCGCCGTTATTGAGCATGCAATGCTTTACCATACGTTTGCCGCGTTCCGAAAAGTGTGCTCACCTCCTCCAGGGTTCCGCAGTCTATTCTTCTCATCCCCAGCCTTCGACATTGCAGTAATGGAAGTATTATTTGTTCTTGCATGCGGCGGTTGTCTATGCGTTCCCTCAGAAGACGACCGATTCAACAATCTGCCCGGGGTAATAAGACAGCTTGGGGTTAATTTCCTCATTCTCACTCCATCTGTCGCGAGAACCTTGGCCCCATCCGAGATTCCGTCCGTACGCACGATGATCCTGTTGGGCGAGGCTGTTCTCGCCTGCGATATCACAACCTGGTCGGACGCAATGTCCTTATATGTTGGGTATGGTCCAGCCGAATGCACACTGCTAACCACAATGTCCCGCCTCGATCGAGTGGACCCAGGACCACCGAAGATTGGAAACCCGTTGAATGGCTCATGTTGGGTAGCTCACCCAAGCGATCACAATCAGCTCGTGCCCATTGGTGTGGTCGGAGAGCTTATAATCGGAGGACCGATTGTTGGGCGTGGTTATATTGGACGACCCAAGGAGAGTGCCGCAGCTTTCATTAAAAACCCGACATGGGCTGCTGAGTTCGGGATCCCCGGAGACCAACGTCTGTACAAAACTGGGGATCTAGTGAAATACAACTGGGATGGCAGTTTACGAATTATCGGTCGCAAGGACACCCAAGTGAAGCTGCGTGGGCAGCGAATCGAGCTAGAAGAGATTGAACAGTGCGTTCGGAACTACAAATCCAACATGACAGCCGTGGCAGACGTGCTTCAATTCAGCGACACTCCAGGCCAACAAGTTGTGCTATTTATCAACACCGATGACGCTATGAGGACCACCGAAAATGCCCAGTCCAAGGAACAGGATGAGCTGTTCACTCCGCTGACACCAGATCTGGAGATGACTCTATCCGGTTTAAGGGAACATTTGGGACGTGTTCTGCCTTCATTCATGGTTCCTTCCGCGTTCATTTACTTAAGGCATCTTCCGTTGACTCCAAGTGGGAAAACTAATCGAAAAGTACTTCGCGAGCATGCCGCGACGACCAGCAGGAAATCGCTGGAGACCTGCAAAGCACGCGCCCTTTCCACAGCTGGGCCCTCGACTGACCGTGAAAAGTTAGTTCGGAGCATATTTGCGCACGTTCTATCAAAGGAGGAGGATGAGATCGGCATCCATGACAACTTTTTCTCCCTGGGAGACTCGATATCGGCCATGCAAGTGCTCAATGCTTGTCGACGGGAAGGGCTGCATCTCACTATGCCGGAATTTCTGGTGAATAACTCTGCTTCTCTTGTCGCATCCTCGGCAACTGTAAGCCCGCGGGCCGAGCTGCGGAACGTAAGAACCAGACGGGCGAGATATTCCCTCTGAGTCCCATCCAGTCTATGTTCTGTGACATGGCCCCTAACATTCATTCGCGGTTCAACCAATCTTTTTTCGTCGGTGTGGAGCAGGACTACAGCGTTCCCGAATGGGAGCAAGCGTTGCTACAGATTGTTGACCGTCACCCAATGCTGCGGATGCGCCTTGAATCTCGGTATGCACAGATCATTACCTCCGATGTCAAAGGCTCATTCACCTTGTCGAGTCATCAAGTGCTGCAGACTGAAGATGTCTCCGAGATTGTGGAACTAGCTCAAGCAAGGGTGGACCCTGTTAAAGGTCCTCTTCTCGCCGTCGATCTCATCAGCACAGCTCAGGGTGGCCGGTACGCTTCCTTTGTAGCGAGTCATATGGTTGTGGACTTGGTGTCCTGGAGAATATTACTAGACGACCTTGAGAATCTGCTCAAGGGCAGAAGCTTGCCTGTTGAGCATCCATTATCGTTCCAGGAATGGGTAGGCCTGCAAATTGAACAATGCACGGACTACCGTCCTCAGCAAGTATTGCCTTTTGGCATGCCTCTTATTGACACGTCTTATTGGGGCCTGGCGCCACATGAAAATTTGTTCGGAGACGGTCTATTTGAGGAATTTTCACTTGACCTTTGTACAACCCACATCCTCATGGGAGAGGCCAACGAAACATTCGGCTCCCGGCCACAGGACATTTTGAATGCGGCTTTATTGTATTCATTTATGGAGGTCTTTCGAGATCGTGCGCCACCGACCATATTCAATGAGAGCCACGGCCGAGAGCCTTTCAATGCAGATATTGACCCTTTCGGAACTGTCGGTTGGTTTACCACAATTTGGCCCTGTATAGTCGCCCAGGCTCAAGACTATAGTTTTACGGAACTGGTGCGCCGAGTCAAAGACTCGTCCAAGCATGTACCAGGGAATGGACGACCATACTTCAGTTCGCGGTACGTGAGTCCCCACTGCAAGGAAGCTTTCGCATCCCATAGCCCGGTAGAAATCCTTGTCAATTACGCCGGTCAATACCACCAACTTGAGCGTCGAGATTCTCTATTCTCCCAGCCAGCATGGAGACCGGATCCGAGGCTAGACGTTGCTAGGGATATGCCGCGCTTTGCTACATTTGATGTGTCTTTTGAAGTGACCCGAGGCCGACTCTGTGTCTCTTTCTTTTACTCTCGATACTCCAAGAGACAACCCGACATCAGATTATGGATCTCAAAGTTTCAAAGGACCTTAAACGTTGAGGTCCAGCAGCTGATGGGATTGCCACGTCAACTGTCATTGAGTGATATTCCTCTTGTTCATACTGATTACACAGAATTATCTGCTCTGCAGAACATTGTTCAGACCTCCCTGGGGGTGCCTTCCATTTCTTGTGTGGAAGACATCTACCCCTGCTCCGACGCCCATGCGGGCCTTATTGAGGGTTTCACTGGCACCGCCTCTCTACACAAAGTTCGCTCTCTTTGGCAGATCAAAAATACCAAAAATCTGGATGCATGCACCGTCGCTGATGCCTGGAATCGGGTGATCCAGCGGCACGCCGTGATGCGAACTGTTCTCTTGGACTGCGGCCTAAAGGCTCATAAATGGCTCCATGTCGTTATGAAGCAAGTTCCGTCGGATATTCCAATCTTGCATTCTGCCTCGCCTGAGACAGCAAAACAGAAACTAATGCTCCTTGGACAACCCAAGTCAGAGTGGAAACGTCCGTCTAATTTCTTTGCAGTGTGTCAAAGTGCGGAAGGGCAAGTCTTCTTCATGTTCGAGTCGGGGAGTGCTCTCATTGATGCTGCTTCGTTTTCTATTCTTTTGCATGATCTCAATCTGATACTCGACGGAGGAGAGCTCAGCGGACCGTCTCATCGCTATAGGGAATACATATCGTACCTTGGCAAGACACCGAGCAATAAGGGTTTGCTGTACTGGGAGAATGTGCTGTCTGGTGTGCAGCCTTGCCTTTTCCCTCAGCTCCACCCGTGTTCCTCAACTCCTAGTGACATCAGACGGCCGCACACGTTCAAGCGCTTCATGCCAAATTCGGAGCCACTCCACTTGTTCTGTAGAGACAACGGGCTGACCGCAACCAACGTCTTTCAGTTGGCTTGGGCACTTGTGCTGCGACTGTACACAGGTCGTGTTGACGTGTGTTTTGGGACGCTAGTGTCTGGCCGAGACATTCCTCTACACGGTGTCATGGAAACTGTCGGTCCTTTTTTTAACGTTCTCCCATGTAGTTTGCACCTAGCAGGGGAGATCACTCCTCTGCAACTTCTTCGACAGAATCAGGCCGCAATGCAGTTCCGCCTCGAGAATCAGCATTGCTCGCTCCTGGACATTATTAGATGCACCGGGTTGGAGCTGGATGGACTTATAAATACCTGCCTCACCGTGCAGCCTGCATTGTCTTCTTCTTTCTCAGTAAAGTGCAACCAAACGGACGTTGGTTTTGAGCTCCTGGAGTATGACGATCCCACTGAGGTATGCTTAACTTCTTTGAATCATGAACTATTGCAGCTCCTTCGTCGGAAGGCGTTTGTGTCTATTTTACTGACTCAGGCTAGTTTGCCATATGTTGTGTTGTTTTGTTGTCGCCTACAATGTTAGAACTCAACATACGCTATTCCGATACCATCTGCACAATGGAGGATGCCGCCAAAATAGCAGACCATTTTACTGATGCTGTGCACTGGATTGTACATGGCACAAAGGATACTGTAAACCAATTTTCCAAAATTCCCTAGATTCCCCATGATGGTTCTAGTGGTTTGATCAATCGGATTATAAGCCATCTCCAGCTGGCCTATTGACCAGCGTACCCAGGACGTTTCAAGCCAGAGGATATACAGTCTGGTTTTGCAGCAGTTGGAGTAGTTCTCATCCAGTCACACTTAACTACTGCATTTGAGTCCAAATTTTAGAACTTAGCACCTACCTTAACCCATTCTAATTCATCGTAAGTTTTACTATAACAACTAATATTTAGTTTAGCCAAACTATTTCTAGCTGTCAAAAATCAGATAACAAGCCTTCATATGTTCATTCTCTCTCTGCAGTTCCGTCAATGCTGGTGATGACCCAAATCCATCTCTCACATTACTCCATATCATGCGGTATTTTCCAGCATCTCATAAAGCCCCTCTGGGCTTGCGCTTCTGGCACCCACGACATTCTCAGAGCCTTGTTGAGCTCTCAGACAGCATCACATAGGTGTTGGTTCCCTTGCGGGGATGTCTCCAGTTGAACAGGGACTAGACTTGGTTTGAAGAGCACTAATCCCAGTTCAACAAGCAGTGACTCTAGTTCAAATAGTAATCTAGTCTAGTCAAAATCACGCATAAGCTGTTTGTGTGCGTAGTTAATCTTCTGGTAAAGGTCTCTATAGAGCTTATAATAAGTACAATAGAACTAATTCTCCTGTAGATGGAATTTAAATTCCCTCTCGCGGTCCTTCTAATAGCTATATGGTAATCCTGCTTTATGTGCTTTTGTCTTACACAGGGGCGATCTCATTGTGTTAAGGGCAATGGTTGAACCTTGAAATGTCTAAATCAGGTAGTCTAACTGATTAACTTAGGCTGTCTCAGGAGGAATGACAAGCATTTATTAATGCCGTAAGATCCACATAAAGGTAGTTGTATTAGTATAATACTATAGGACTGTTAAATCTTAAGTAAAACCTGCTGTTAACTTAAGTGAATAGTAAGCTGTTAAATAAATTATTATATCTTGAGTAAATACTAGACCTGCTATCATCTTAAGCTATTAGCAACCTGCTTAGTATATTATCCATGACCATGCATCTCTAATCACCTTATTAGTCATACTTATTCTTTGTAATAGGTCAGAAAATCAGCACTTATATTTAATAGCCTTCATACAGACCTCAGCTCTTATTATTTCTACACCTCGCCTTCCCAGCATCTGTAATTGAATAAGAGTTGGGGCAGTTAAGAATATATGCATAGGTGCATATAAAATCGCTATTTAAGCTAAGAAGAAAAGGACTTAGAAGTAATGTGATTTTGTTATGAAACTAGTGATGCTAGACTGCTATTGGTATCTTACAGTACCCTTTATTTCATCACTAGCATCACTAGCATCACTAGCATCACTAGCATCACTAGCATCACTAGCATCACGAGGACATGAATTTCGTGTCAGAATAACAGGGGAATAACCTTATTTTCTTCATTTTTTATTTGTACAGTGAAGAGCACTAAAACCTTTAGTTGATGTTAGATCTGAATGCTAATATTGGGTTAAGCGTTAGTTCTTCTGTTTTGGGTGTTGCAGTGAAAGCTGCTTGGCTTTCTCCGTGAGTTCACCCATCTTGGTAGACTTGCCTGGCTTGTACATAAACTGTTTAATGATTGACTTCATACTGCTAGTTCTCAAGGCTTTAATATCGTGAGGTCTGAAGCCCTGATCCAATACCTCCTTTATCATTTCCCGCCAAACATCAGCATAAGTTTCCTTCTAATCTTTGATAAAAGCTTCGGCTTGGGCCCTTGTTCTGAACTTCTTGTGATAAGAAGCAGCCTCATTCTTAACTTCTCTCTCAGCACTGCATCTGCTGCCAGTATTCGCAAGTTAGCTATCATGCTCTCTGTAGCAGACGGCTGCAGTGCCTACTAGTACAAATCATAGATACCAGGGTTTACCCCATTGGCAACTGCATAGAATCCATTTCCATTCAAAGGTGCTATTTCTTCTGCGTTGACCTTCATCACCTCTTTAGCCTGGGTCGCACCTATCCTTTTCATGTAGGCGCGGGCGCCTTTAAGGGTTTCAAAGGCACCATGCACTGAGGCACAGCCTGTCACTCAAGGGTGTGCATCCCCCCTGCCACTTCAGTTAGGACTGATCATACCTGTGATCTCAGATAGCTTAGTACCATGACGAAAATATTGTAGGTTCCTCTACACGCCCAGTAAAAACTGCATAGTATTCCTTGTGCCCCATGGCTTCCTTCACCCCGCGAGAGGCAGGATTGCAAAGCTATTCAAAGCTGGCAATGGTATCTAAAGAGGGGAAGAAAGCATTACTGTAGCATACTTTAAAGCAGTAATATTCGCCCAGGTCTAAGCAATTTTGATCAGGCGATGACCAGGGAAGAATTGATTGGGCCATATACCTGGTCCGTGGCGCAATCTGGGGCAGCATATAATCTGAATTTCTGTCCCACTAATTAGTTGGCTTTTTGGGTTTGATAGCATTGTGAGAAAGGCTATTAAATATGGCAAATGACTTCTAATAGTTTACACTGTGTGACCTGAGCAGGGTTGGAAGGCGTTAGTTAGTAATATATGGTATCCAATAAGATCTGTATTAGTGAACCACTGTACATAGCACACTAGGTGGCTTCTTATCTTCCTGCAGCCTATTACATATTGACTCCCATCATAAATAGGTGTCTATGGTCAGTTAAAAGCAGGTAAATAGTTTAGAGTGTAGTTCTTGAGAACCATGCTCCATCATCTATTGGCATTAATTCTAGTCAATCTTAATGCATGACAACAACAATGACTGTATAATTAAAACAAAAATTAGCATTACTCTAAGCTTAGCTCTTCTATTCAGTTATCAATCTCCCTATTATGATAGTATTTCTGCCTATCCCTCCCCTCTTCAACCCACCCATTACCTCTCACCACAGGATACCTACTGTATAATTCATTTGCAAACACTACAGTACAGTATTAACCCCGCTTGTTACATTTACGGCGTGGGTCTCACCCTTCCAGTGCGTTATTGGTTTGAGTCAACTGCCTGTGATATCTTGTGCATTAGTTAAAACGCCACTATGCCCGTGAGGCTGAACTCCTTTGTTGCCTGCAATGAATGTCTACCCATTTTTGTCGTATCTCCCAATTATTCCTAGGTCTAATTGGGAAGAGGACATTTTCCTTGCGAGCTGTAGTAAGGAACCTATAGCCGCGCAGCATGGTGGACTCCCTGTATTAGAAGGAGAAAAGACACCAACAGCCTCTGTCTCGTGAAGGCACTAATCCCTGGGCGCCTGGAAACCATCTAAATGGCATACTTCGGAGCTTGGACCGTATGAGTTGATGCGCCTAAGGCTGCCCAAGCATATCCTTAACCCAAACTAAGTGGATGGCATAGCCTTACAAGCCTGCGTCTGTGGACACATTGAATCATATAGATGGTAAGTTTTTACAGTACAGTGGTGCCTGACATCGTCTCCCATGTCAGGAACACAGAGATCAGAGCTCTTACAATCCTAATCTATGATACAGTAAAATAACCCGCTTCGTACCTCCCTGTAATAATTCAAGTTCATGATTCTATGCTGTATGATAGATACAAGAGGTGAATTTAGAACTCCTAGAAGATCCCTCGCCAATGAGCAAACAGGACAGATAAAGCAACGCTTGAACTTGCAAAGGGTCAACTCTTCGTTCCACATCTTGGAGCTGCGTTCAGTGCTTGATGCTTCTTAGGTGTTGATCTGAGACCGTCATCAGACTAACAGTGAGGTTTTACTCCGGGTCTCCGCTATTGCTTACATTTGCACCCTGCCTACGTTCAGCTTACCTTAGTTCCTGAACATGTCTCAAGCCCCACCCAAAAAAAGAGGTAGGGATTCTCATTTAACACTACTGGCACCATGCGAGGACACTACGCATTATTAGCTCTGATACGGAACTGTAACCATGGTGTGTCAGGGGCATTTTTTGTTCCATGGAAATCATGCTGACGTCAATAAGTATTTGACAATCGGTCGGGGAGATACCTTTAGGTATACTGCCACTAGGATTTTCGTGTGGACAACACGTTCCTGGAATGCATTTTTCAACAACACTTTGGTAGTTTCATTATAGTTGTTGAGAGCATAATAGCAGGTGGACTCTGAGATCAACCCACACAGTGCGTCAAGTACGCATCTAACATGGAAAGGGCCAAACGGAAGCACCTTGATGGATCTTCAACTAGATCTACTGCACCTACTTAGCCGTCATCCATCTCTTTCACTCACTTGCCACGGATGTTGAAGCTACTGTCGACGCAGTCTGGCTTGCCTGGTAAGAACTATGGCGTTGCCAAGGACATAATAAAAAGGTTGAGTGTCTAACCCGTCCAGGATTAGGGAGCATTCACCTGGCCTATTTCTCCTTCAATCTACCTTGGACCTGTCTAGTACCCTTGGTTACTTTAGTGCAACGGATATCTGCCTGAAAAGGGTGGAGGGAAGAACGCTATGGAAGAAGTATTCTATATCTGAGCAGTACAGATGTTATAGCGTAATTGTATTATAAGAACTGGCCCTATGTATACCACCCAGATATAATTGCCTGGTAGCTATTAGCTTCTCTTCAGCACGCCCCACTGCCGTTGCCGGGTTTCTATGCGTCTGCTCAAGGTTGACGGCTCCTTGCATGTTAGATCAAGGAATCTATGAATCTATGAATTAAAGTAGCTTACAGACTTATATGGCTGTTATTCATTCAGCTATTAGAATCAGATGATTTCCAATATAGCTCCTGCAAATGTGAGTGACTCTGTATCAGGCCTCAAATCATAATATACATCAGCAGCTCAAATTGGAAAGCTTTCAATTCAATTCCATGGAGAATGTATAGAGAAGTAATTTGTATCAATCTGTGAAGCCCCAACTGGCTATTTTACATCAGGAATCATCGGAATAGTACAGCTCTGAGCTATCCTCTGTCATCTTATCATCAGATAATGCGCTGTCACCATCGAGCTTCTTGTTCCATTG